AAATTTTAATTTTTTTATAAGGGGGTACCCCATGATTTTTTGCGAAAAATTTAAAATGCATAAAATGTCAAGATTTAAATGCCAATCGTTAGAAAATTTAATAACGAGTTCAGAAAGGTATGACACTCCATACTTTAAATCAGTATTTGCTTTGTTTTAGCGAAAAAAAACGGTTTTGTTTTTTTTTTGGAAATTCGGGATTTCAGTTTTTGACAAAAATTGAAATATTTTCTTTTGGTTTTTTTGCTGTAACTTGGCCAAAAATGGTCCTACACCAAAAATACATACTGTTTTGAACAGATAACAAAATGTGCTATAAATCCATAAAACTTTCCGTGTGATTTTGGAAAAATAAAATTTTCGCCAAATTTTAATTTTTTTATAAGGGGGTACCCCATGATTTTTTGCGAAAAATTTAAAATGCATAAAATGTCAAGATTTAAATGCCAATCGTTAGAAAATTTAATAACGAGTTCAGAAAGGTATGACACTCCATACTTTAAATCAGTATTTGCTTTGTTTTAGCGAAAAAAACGGTTTTTTTTTTTTTTGGAAATTCGGGATTTCAGTTTTTGACAAAAATTGAAATATTTTCTTTTGGTTTTTTTGCTGTTACTAGGCCAAAAATGGTCCTACACAAAAAATACATACTGTTTTGAACAGATAACAAAATGTGCTATAAATCCATAAAACTTTCCGTGTGATTTTGGAAAAATAAAATTTTCGCCAATTTTCAATTTTTTTATAAGGGGGTACCCCATGATTTTTTGCGAAAAATTTAAAATGCATAAAATGTCAAGATTTAAATGCCAATCGTTAGAAAATTTAATAACGAGTTCAGAAAGGTATGACACTCCATACTTTAAATCAGTATTTGCTTTGTTTTAGCGAAAAAAACGGTTTTGTTTTTTTTTGGAAATTCGGGATTTCAGTTTTTGACAAAAATTGAAATATTTTCTTTTGGGTTTTTTGCTGTAACTTGGCCAAAAATAGTCCTACACCAAAAATACATACTGTTTTGAACAGATAACAAAATGTGCTATAAATCCATAAAACTTTCCGTGTGATTTTGGAAAAATAAAATTTTCGCCAATTTTCAATTTTTTTATAAGGGGGTACCCCATGATTTTTTGCGAAAAATTTAAAATGCATAAAATGTCAAGATTTAAATGCCAATCGTTAGAAAATTTAATAACGAGTTCAGAAAGGTATGACACTTCATACTTTAAATCAGTATTTGCTTTGTTTTAGCGAAAAAAACGGTTTTGTTTTTTTTGGAAATTCGGGATTTCAGTTTTTGACAAAAATTGAAATATTTTCTTTTGGTTTTTTTGCTGTAACTTGGCCAAAAATGGTCCTACACCAAAAATACATACTGTTTTGAACAGATAACAAAATGTGCTATAAATCCATAAAACTTTCCGTGTGATTTTGGAAAAATAAAATTTTCGCCAAATTTTAATTTTTTTATAAGGGGGTACCCCATGATTTTTTGCGAAAAATTTAAAATGCATAAAATGTCAAGATTTAAATGCCAATCGTTAGAAAATTTAATAACGAGTTCAGAAAGGTATGACACTCCATACTTTGAATCAGTATTTGCTTTGTTTTAGCGAAAAAAACGGTTTTGTTTTTTTTTTTTTTGGAAATTCGGGATTTCAGTTTTTGACAAAAATTGAAATATTTTCTTTTGGTTTTTTTGCTGTAACTTGGCCAAAAATGGTCCTACACCAAAAATACATACTGTTTTGAACAGATAACAAAATGTGCTATAAATCCATAAAACTTTCCGTGTGATTTTGGAAAAATAAAATTTTCGCCAAATTTTAATTTTTTTATAAGGGGGTACCCCATGATTTTTTGCGAAAAATTTAAAATGCATAAAATGTCAAGATTTAAATGCCAATCGTTAGAAAATTTAATAACGAGTTCAGAAAGGTATGACACTCCATACTTTGAATCAGTATTTGCTTTGTTTTAGCGAAAAAAACGGTTTTGTTTTTTTTTTTTTTGGAAATTCGGGATTTCAGTTTTTGACAAAAATTGAAATATTTTCTTTTGGTTTTTTTGCTGTAACTTGGCCAAAATGGTCCTACACAAAAAATACATACTGTTTTGAAAAGATAACAAAATTTGCTATAAATCCATAAAACTTTCCGTGTGATTTTGAAAAAATAAAATTTTCGCCAATTTTTAATTTTTTTATGAGGGGGTACCCCATGACTTTTTGCGAAAAATTTAAAATACATAAAATGTCAAGGTTTAAATGCCAATCGTTAGAAAATTTAATAACGAGTTCAGAAAGGTATGACACTCCATACTTTAAATCAGTATTTGATTTGTTTTAGCGAAAAAAACGGTTTTGTTTTTTTTTTGGAAATTTGGGATTTCAGTTTTTGACAAAAATTGAAATATTTTCTTTTGGTTTTTTTGCTGTAACTTGGCCAAAAATGGTCCTACACAAAAAATACATACTGTTTTGAAAAGATAACAAAATTTGCTATAAATCCATAAAACTTTCCGTGTGATTTTGGAAAAATAAAATTTTCGCCAATTTTTAATTTTTTTATAAGGGGGTACCCCATGATTTTTTGCGAAAAATTTAAAATACATAAAATGTCAAGGTTTAAATGCCAATCGTTAGAAAATTTAATAACGAGTTCAGAAAGGTATGACACTCCATACTTTAAATCAGTATTTGCTTTGTTTTAGCGAAAAAAACGGTTTTGTTTTTTTTTGGAAATTCGGGATTTCATTTTTTGACAAAAATTGAAATATTTTCTTTTGGTTTTTTTGCTGTAACTTGGCCAAAAATGGTCCTACACAAAAAATACATACTGTTTTGAACAGATAACAAAATGTGCTATAAATCCATAAAACTTTCCGTGTGATTTTGGAAAAATAAAATTTTCGCCAAATTTTAATTTTTTTATAAGGGGGTACCCCATGATTTTTTGCCAAAAATTTAAAATGCATAAAATGTCAAGATTTAAATGCCAATCGTTAGAAAATTTAATAACGAGTTCAGAAAGGTATGACACTCCATACTTTAAATCAGTATTTGCTTTGTTTTAGCGAAAAAAACGGTTTTTTTTTTTTTGGAAATTCGGGATTTCAGTTTTTGACAAAAATTGAAATATTTTCTTTTGGTTTTTTTGCTGTAACTTGGCCAAAAATAGTCCTACACCAAAAATACATACTGTTTTGAACAGATAACAAAATGTGCTATAAATCCATAAAACTTTCCGTGTGATTTTGGAAAAATAAAATTTTCGCCAATTTTCAATTTTTTTATAAGGGGGTACCCCATGATTTTTTGCGAAAAATTTAAAATGCATAAAATGTCAAGATTTAAATGCCAATCGTTAGAAAATTTAATAACGAGTTCAGAAAGGTATGACACTTCATACTTTAAATCAGTATTTGCTTTGTTTTAGCGAAAAAAACGGTTTTGTTTTTTTTTTGGAAATTCGGGATTTCAGTTTTTGACAAAAATTGAAATATTTTCTTTTGGTTTTTTTGCTGTAACTTGGCCAAAAATAGTCCTACACCAAAAATACATACTGTTTTGAACAGATAACAAAATGTGCTATAAATCCATAAAACTTTCCGTGTGATTTTGGAAAAATAAAATTTTCGCCAAATTTTAATTTTTTTATAAGGGGGTACCCCATGATTTTTTGCGAAAAATTTAAAATGCATAAAATGTCAAGATTTAAATGCCAATCGTTAGAAAATTTAATAACGAGTTCAGAAAGGTATGACACTCCATACTTTAAATCAGTATTTGCTTTGTTTTAGCGAAAAAAACGGTTTTGTTTTTTTTTTGGAAATTCGGGATTTCAGTTTTTGACAAAAATTGAAATATTTTCTTTTGGTTTTTTTGCTGTAACTTGGCCAAAAATGGTCCTACACCAAAAATACATACTGTTTTGAACAGATAACAAAATGTGCTATAAATCCATAAAACTTTCCGTGTGATTTTGGAAAAATAAAATTTTCGCCAAATTTTCAATTTTTTTATAAGGGGGTACCCCATGATTTTTTGCGAAAAATTTAAAATCCATAAAATGTCAAGATTTAAATGCCAATCGTTAGAAAATTTAATAACGAGTTCAGAAAGGTATGACACTCCATACTTTAAATCAGTATTTGCTTTGTTTTAGCGAAAAAAACGGTTTTGTTTTTTTTTTGGAAATTCGGGATTTCATTTTTTGACAAAAATTGAAATATTTTCTTTTGGTTTTTTTGCTGTAACTTGGCCAAAAATGGTCCTACACAAAAAATACATACTGTTTTGAACAGATAACAAAATGTGCTATAAATCCATAAAACTTTCCGTGTGATTTTGGAAAAATAAAATTTTCGCCAAATTTTCAATTTTTTTATAAGGGGGTACCCCATGATTTTTTGCGAAAAATTTAAAATCCATAAAATGTCAAGATTTAAATGCCAATCGTTAGAAAATTTAATAACGAGTTCAGAAAGGTATGACACTCCATACTTTAAATCAGTATTTGCTTTGTTTTAGCGAAAAAAACGGTTTTGTTTTTTTTTGGAAATTCGGGATTTCAGTTTTTGACAAAAATTGAAATATTTTCTTTTGGTTTTTTTGCTGTAACTTGGCCAAAAATGGTCCTACACCAAAAATACATACTGCTTTGAACAGATAACAAAATTTGCTATAAATCCATAAAACTTTCCGTGTGATTTTGGAAAAATAAAATTTTCGCCAATTTTTAATTTTTTTATAAGGGGGTACCCCATGATTTTTTGCGAAAAATTTAAAATGCATAAAATGGCAAGGTTTAAATGCCAATCGTTAAGAAATTTAATAACGAGTTTATTTGTTTTTTGCTTGCTACTTTTCTTTTTATTAAGTTTTTATAAAAGTATTGGTTTCACTTTACTTGCGTATTTTTCGGCTTTCAAAATTTAAAAATTTTCACAGAACGGCTTATAAATTAAATAAAAAAAAAGATGATATCCATGTTGGACTCCTACCAGCTGCCTGCATAGGCGTTCGCAGAGGCCTTGGCGTAGGCGCCATTGCCACCGCCTCCTCCTCCGCAGGAATGGCAGCCACCGCCTCCTCCGCCGGAGGACCAGCTGTTGGCACTGCTGCTGGCGTAGGAGCCACTGCCGCCGCCACCACCACCGCCACCCCACTGGGAAGGTCCTCCTCCGCCGCCGCCTCCTCCATGGTAACCACCGCCGCCTCCTCCATTGTGGCCTCCTCCTCCGCCGCCTCCCCACTGATGGCCACCGCCTCCTCCGCCGCTGTAGACAGGCTTCACGACATAGACGTCTATGGTGCTGCCTCCTCCACCGGGATAGCCTCCGCCTCCGCCGCCATGATAGCCACCTCCACCTCCACCTCCATGATAGCCACCGCCGCCTCCTCCGCCGTGGTATCCCCCTCCGCCGTTGTAGCCACCTCCTCCTCCACCGTGGTATCCACCGCCTCCTCCATTGTAGCCTCCTCCTCCTCCGTTATGACCGCCGCCGCCTCCCCAGCCACCTCCGAATCCTCCGCCGCCACCGAATCCTCCGCCACCGCCGAATCCTCCACCGCCGCCACCGCCGAAAAGCAGCTTCTTCTTCAGGGCGAGCAAAGACGGAGTGGTGAAGTCCACGCAGCTGGCCAGGATCAGCAGCCAAAGGGCGAAGAACTGCCAATGCCTCATTTTAGTTGACTATTTGACGTATATATTCTAGTTCCGGTTCCGGTTTGCCGATGCTCCTCCGTTAATGCTAATCCGTTCTATTCGTCGCAAAAGGTGGTGTCCAACTGGTCGTCAATCCGTGCAAGGTGCATCTTTATATATGACTTCCATTGTTTTCCCGCGCATCGTCGCAAAATCGTCACCACTGGGAGCCATCGAATTCTCTCAGGCGATCGGGCTTGAAAAAATCGGGGGAGTTACTTACACAACAATAAGGCTGGCCGGCGGGCATTAAACATTAATTACTCAATGGGTCACTGGAGATACTGAAATCGGGGACTTACCAATGCTCTGTACTAGGTCTATAAAATTCTACCCATGCTCTCTGATTTCTAACTAGGTAAACAGAAGGTGGAAGATTAAAATGTGAACGTTGACCACAAAATATATTCATATTGCGGTTATAACAAAGATACTGTATCATTAAATAGTTTAAACCGTAAAATATAGCGGTTAACCACAAAATAAACCATTACCATATTTTAAAGTTATTTAATATAACTTTTGATATTTTAATTTATATTTAAAAATTTCAGTTAATCTAATCGTTTCTTATATTTTCTTTACAGAACAAACATTAAACATTACGCATACGCCGGGTGCACCCGTTCATCATGCAGAGTATCAGCAATTATATGCATGACATCTGCTGGAAAATCCCTCTTACTCATCTGCTAAATAGGAGAGAATCAGAAATAGAGGTGAATGAATCGCGGAGAGATAGAACCTGTATAGTTAAAACCAGGTGTTAACTAAGAGATAGCTTAGAACCAACTAATGTCCAGAATTCCAATGATAAAACATCTTAATATGCACAGTTAAGAACACTCACAGTAAGCGTATTCCAACTTCGTTGAGAGAACCAACTGTTTCCATTCGCAACTCATCAGTATGTGAGAAGCAATTGGCGAGCTGAGCCGCATAACTTTATTCTGTAAAGTCGAAAAATCCCCGCAATTGAAGCAGATACCTTAAGGAAGCCCCACTGGAAAAGCGGATGCTTTTCTAAATATTACTTATTGGAAGTCCCAGATTTCCTGGGCTTTCAACTGAGGGAGTCTCCGGGTCAGAGTCCCATCACCACTCATAATATTCCTGTAAATTATTCTCCACCACCATGTAAAACTTGCGTCGCTTTGATTTGCAGCTCAAAAACGTTTGATTAAATAACAAAATGTTGGGAACACTAGAACTAGATTAATACAATTTGAATTGAGGAAAGAGGCAGACGAAGAAACTTAGGTATAACTGGAGTGTCTCGTTGGGAAGATCACCATTGCGGATTACTGGATTAGATCTTGGTTGCTGGAGTATTGAGCCGGAGATTGGTCAGTGGTTCGTTGGTGGGTGGATTTTTGGGATTTACCAACCGCCGCCGTGCTTTCCACCACCTCCTCCTCCGCCGCCGCCATGCTTGCCGCCACCTCCATTTCCACCGCCGCCGTGCTTTCCACCGCCTCCTCCGCCGCCGCCGCCCTTCTGCCAGCCCCCTTGGCCACCTCCTCCGCCGCCGCCCTTCTGCCAGCCTCCTTGGGAACCACCTCCTCCTCCGCCGCCACCACCCTTTTGCCAGCCACCGCCGCCACCACCACCATTTCCGCCGGCGGAAACGACGGCCAGGAGCACTCCGAAGAGGAAGATTGCGAGCAGAGTGAAACGCATAGTAAGGCTGGGTTTAATTTCTGGATGCTGTAGTAGAACACTATAGAAACTGATGCCCCAAACCCGGCCGAAGCACAGTTTATATAGCTACCAGATCGGTTTCAGTCAAGTCATGTTGCAGCCCACAGCATAAGGAAACCTGTGATCTTGATCTTGAGCTTGCATCCCAACCAGAAAACCACTTGGAAACTGTTGAGCCACCACGGGGTCATTAATTATGCGAGGGCCATGTGTCATTTGTAAATCTTAATGCAATTGTAACGCAAATTACGGGTGGATTTCGTTTAAAATTGTAGGTAAAATAAAAAAAACTTAAAATGACGTTACTAATTTTTCTTAATTATTCTTTGTTAGAAGGTACAGAACTATTGGAACTTCAATTCACTGGCCGACCTTGATAACCCCTCGGTGCCTTCGACTTTCTCCTGCAATAAAAATCCAGAAGATGTGGGAGTAAGTCAACGAACATTAAAGCAAACAGAACGTAGGTCTCGAGTAGCGAGCACTTAAATTGAAGCAGTTCCACGTGACCCTAGAATTCAGCCTACCATAGCAACCAAGAACTCAATTAATTGGATATTCAAATGCATACACCTTTGTAAGAAATAAAAAAGATACGATAATCCAGGCTAAGTCATGAATATAACACTTTAGTTTAAGCTCTAAATGATTTGTTTAGGAAAATAAAAGAAACGCATTTTATATTGTAAATAATAATAAAATTAAGATTATATAATAAAGCTAAACAATGAAATTGTATTAATACTGTATTTATTTTTGAAGGACATGCATACTTTTGGGCTGTCGCATAAATGAAGAATGTGAACTGCTTTTGGGCTGCTCGAAATAACCCCTTATCAAAAATGCGAAAATTTATAAAAAAATTAATTTTCCAGAAAGTGATGGGATTTGTTAGTATAGGACGTTAGCTGTTGAAAACAGTCGGTCTTTTAGCTGTAGGCCTTGAATTGTCCAAGCTACAACTAAAAAACCATAAAAAAATGACTATTTTCGTCGAAAATTCGAATCCATATTTTCCACCCTAAAATATCAGTTTTCGCAAAAAAATCAATCCATGGAGATGATCTTGGTGCACTGCATCTTAGAGTCCACTTCCAGCTATTTGACATTCCAATATATGAATCTCCTAAAGACACTTCACAACTACCAACACCCAACTAATCAGCTGTGCGTTTTACACCTTCTGATCTTTTGGTAACTAAAATCTGAAAACGTCACATTTGGTTGGGAAAACTGACACACACATTTGCTTTCTTGGCCCAGAAAATAGAGGACGTTATGAAATAACAGTTTTAGGGTACATTTATTTAATATACAAATTGTGTGCTCCAAGCAAATGCCATTTGCCACATAGTCTCATGCTTAATTGAGTAACAGTTCTGTGGGGATGGGATTGGGACTGGGATTGGGGTAACAAAGTAACAGGTTAAAAAAAATAATTGCTTCTTGGATATGTACAGTATTTACAAGATTGATCGTGGACTGCCTCGATGGCTTCCTAGGATTCTAGCCTCGGATTGGGATTGGGCTTAAGGTTTAGGCCCAACCACCAGCAGGCTGCCAGCCACCACCGCCGCCGCCTCCGGAAGACCAGCCTCCGCCGCCACCACCGCCTCCATGGCCACCACCGCCGCCGCCGGAGCTCAGCTTGATGATTTTGATGACCTTGGTGCCGCCGCCACCGCCGCCTCCGTGGCCACCACCTCCTCCGCCGCCAGAAGACCAGCCTCCGCCGCCGCCGCCTCCTCCTGAAGACCAGCCGCCGCCTCCACCACCGCCGCCATGTCCTCCTCCTCCACCGCCGGCCGATCCAAGGCTAATGATTTTGATGAGCTTTACTTCACCACCGCCGCCGCCGCCTCCGTGGCCACCACCTCCTCCTCCGCCTGATGACCAACCGCCGCCGCCGCCGCCTCCAGAGGACCAACCTCCTCCTCCGCCGCCTCCAGAAGACCAGCCTCCTCCTCCACCACCGCCGCCTCCATTCTCCGTGATCACTTTGATTATCTGGACATCTCCTCCACCGCCTCCGCCTCCATGGCCGCCACCGCCTCCTCCTCCGCCGGAGGACCAGCCTCCGCCGCCACCGCCTCCATGGCCACCGCCTCCTCCGCCGCCAGAGGACCAACCTCCTCCTCCGCCGGGCTTCGGCTTGGCCGTCACACTGGCCGCTCCGATGAGCAAGAGACACACAAAGGCCTGAAACGTAAGCAAAAGCACTCGATGAGAATCACTTGAACAAAAAAAAACATAGAGAACACGCTGCGCATGCGCAATATTCTTCAATCAATTATTCTGTAGTCCTGGCGAACGACGAGCCGTACTTTCATCGCTTGGAACGCTCCGTTTGGGTTAACTAGTGGGCTAAGTGCGAATCCACAACTGACATGACCACCGATGGCAGCCAGAGTTTTTATACGAAACCACAGGCAACATAACTTTAACCGGAAAAGCTTCGCTCTGCCAGAAAGCAAAAGGAAAAACCGTTTTCCACGCTCACCGTGTGGTTGGCAGATGTTGGAGGTGCTGCCAAGGCACTGCGGGAAATTGAAAATAAGCATATTTAAAATCAAAAATAGGTATTGTAAAAAAAAACATAAATATATAAAATAAATAAACAAAAAGTTAATTTATACTTGTACATTTTTAGAAATCCTACGAAAAAAATTAAAAATAGATATTATAAATATAAAAAACTAAATTTTATTATATTATAATATAATAAGAAGAGTTTCCTACATTTAGGTTATTTCATACTTATTAATTTTCAACTGTTAGCAATAAATCTTTCTAAAATAAAATTCGACCGTTATCAAAAAATATTATAAAAAAGTATTATTATTGCAAAGAGTTGTTTAATTATTAAAATAATCTATTGTTTTAAAACATTAACATACCTTTTCTTTATATCTCAAAATAGCTACCTACCGGTCTTACACGCTATAAAATATTTCCTTAAACTAAAAATTAATACTTAAATATTTTTAACAGCACTTCTGGATAATTTAATTTTTCTCTGAGATAATTTAAAATTATTTCTGGTGTTAAAACTTTAGCATAATATTTCTTTATACCTCAAAATTTTGTTTTAGTATTTTAATAATTCAAAAGCACCTCTGGATAATTTCTCTCTGTGCAGCTGGGGTGAGCCACCACATTGGCGCAATGTGGGCCAAATGCTGCCGCATCATCGTCGCGCAGTCGCCATTAGTCAGGGGGGAGGATTCAGATTGGGCCTTAGTTTTGGGATCTCCTAGTGCTAAGATGGGGTGGCCAAAGGCAAAGGCAAAAGGCAAAAGGCGGCGGGCGAAAGCTGCAGACAACTCATAACTGCAGCTCCACTCGATTGTCGCGCATCTGCAACAGTTTGTAGTCGGCCAGCGATTTGTATTTGTTTGTATAGCAAATGCGCATCTCCAACTCCCGCCAGACAAGTTGCTGCTGCACCTTTCCCATTGCATAATCCGCAACAGCAACTGCAGCCACTGCAGCAGCAGAAGCAACATCGCCGATCACAACAGCAACATCAGGCCAACTTGCAACTTGCGGCGTTGTACAATTGATGCCATTATTTGATTTGCATCTGGGGGTACATATCGCCGGCAATTTGGCCCAAAACGATGACAAAGCCCGGTGGTGGGGATCAAACTGCCAACTGGTCGCTCAGTCAGTCCATCGGATCCATCATTATGGGCGTGACGACGGCGCATTCGATGCGGCCACAAATCGCAGCAAGCCAGAAAATCACCGCAGCCAAAATGTATTCCAAAAAATATGGCCAAAACTATGCAGCCGATTCGTCATGGAGATCTGTGTAGGGAAAAGGCCATATGGTAATTTTACAAGTTGATCAAGGAACGCAATTGCTAACAAAAAAGCAATAATATATTCACCAACCCTTTTAATTAAAGTTTACGTTCAAAAAAGATACTCCCCCTTAATGAAATTTCGGCTACACAAGTTTATCTCCTTTTTATACACACTGCCGACATAATATGTAGCTAAATGACGCAAGTAATAATTCAACCGGCTAATTAACCAAAGACAAGGGTTTTAAAAGTGGGACAGCCTACTTAGCACTTGTGCAAAATTTTAATTTAAAACTCATCACCATATATTCGATTTAAGCAACGCCCTTGATTTTTTCAATTGGTTGTAAGGCACTTGAGAAACTAATTTTACAATTTATAGATTTTTAAAAAAATATATACATTATTGGTAAAAAAAAGAAAACAATTTGACATCTTTTTTAATACCGCAAAATTAGATATTATAAATAAACAAACAATATATATAGACTTTGAAATAAATTGGTAAAAAAAAGAAACTATTTGAAATTTTTCTTTAATATCTCAAACATAAAAAAAAAAATTAATAAAAAAAAATCTCAAGAAAAAAGTGTAAATTACATGAATTACAAATAAATCGCACATTGTATAATCATTTAGTATGCAACTCAATTGAAGTGAGATTTGCTTATCTAACACACTAAATATGGATCACTATGGTGACTTAACTTTTTCAACTTTCTGACATAAAAAACATTTGCATACATATTGCGTGGGTTTTTTTTCTTTTAGCTCCCGTAAAATGCAATTAACATGCAGAGGCTCCCCTTTTTTTCGCACCTCCCCCCTTCGCTCATTACGAAGCCCTTTTCGCCTCTTTAGGGGGCGTGGCAACGGTTCACTAATTGCAGATGGTACACCACCTCCCGAGGAAAGTGCAATTTGAGCGGTATAATAAATCCCGCATCAGCATCTCTTACACAATTCGCCTGTTCATACTCAAAATCATATATATATATGTTGAAATCGGTGGAAAGGGGCAGGTGACACATGGAAAATGGGAAAAGGCGGCTAAAAACAAAGTAAACACAAGTGGCGTCAATTGCAACGCGACCCAGACGCGAATTTCCAATGCGAGTTGCACGTTGCTGTTGCGAGTTGCAAGTTGCCAGCCGAAGACGCAACATCGCATCCCGAAAACGAGCTGAAGGTGAGCAAAAAGGGGCGGAAGGCGATCCTATATCAATCTTTAAAGCAGCAGATGAGAGGCGTTCCATAAATCTTATGGATGTGATCAAAAAGTAAAGTTGATCCCATCTAAAACGCCTCTCATCTGCTGTTTTAAAGCTTGATATATTACAGATCTACACAGAAAAAAAGGTCAGATTGATATGTGCAGGATAATTTAAACATTTTTAAATATCAAGCTATTCATATCATTTTGATATGCATAAAGATGGTGTATATCTTATTTTACAATATCAAAACAGTACTGAATTTGGAATTTGAACAGTATTCTTATAACTTTTATGAAATAATAAAATATCAAGCTGATATGTTTGAATAATAAATTTGACATTAGTTACATCGGCTTTTTATTGATATCAAATTTTTTATTGTTGGATTGGTGGTCAAAACTATATTTTCCTGACAATACATACCTGTAAATATTTGTATAGCTTTTATGAAATGATAAAATATGAAATTGATATCGGCTTTTTATTTATATCGAATTTTTTTTCTGTGCATGTAAAAATATTGTTGGATTGATGGTCAAACCTACATTTTTCTGACAATACATACCTGTAAATATTTTCTGTAAAGTCGAGGCCTTTCGTGCCACATGCAACAGGCAACGAGGAAGCGCAGCAACCTCGACCTATGCCAGGTCCCCAGTTGCTCCACTCCATTCTCCACTCCTCTCCAGCTGCAGAGCCCCTCCATCGGCTTTTGTAGTGTAGTGGAGCAGCGGGTCAACGTTCCACGTTCGTTTAAATTACAATGCAGCCGAGGAGGAAAACGTGTTTGCTGCCTCTATGAACTTTATGATACTTTCGGTGTGTGTGGAGTGTCCACTCCTCGCCCGCCTCCCATTATTTCCCACATTTCGGCGTGTAATTTTCGTATCGAAGCTGGGCTTTTAGTTTTTCCCCGCCAGAGAAAGACAAAAGCACTCTGTGGATCAGAGACAACCTTCCTCCAGTGGCTGCCAGTTTCCGGATCGTTGCGTCACCGGGTTTCCTGCTTCGATGGGCCGGCTAAATAAATCACCAAATCGAGCGCCGCACATCCTGCCAATTGGGTTATGAAACACCGATCGCATCTTCATCCTTTCTTCATTAGGTCATCACATCATCATCATCTCCCAAAAGAGGCCTTACATTTGTCGTACACTTTTTGGTTTATTCGATAATTATGCATAGGTTTTTTGTTCGTTATCTTTAGTAATTAGGTAATTTAATTAAGTTTAAAGTGATGCTCTCTGTTTACATTGCATGGGCTTCAAGTTGTCCTAAATTGTATAATTAATTTGTAATCTCTGCTCTCTCGTTTCGTTAAATATTCAATTGGTTAATTATTGCAAACGTTACACGAGTATATATACCATTTAAACATACATATATATGTATAGGGTTGTACGTACAAGTAACGCTTATAATGGCTTACATCTAGGCATATGTATGTTACGATATTATAGCTATGAGTATCCAGCCCAGAATTGAACTATTTATAGAGCAAAAAAAAATAAACGAACAGCACTCACTTAAAAAAAAATAGATTAGGGATAGGGGGTTTGTTACGAGTAGTTAAAGATAATTTTCTATGCGAAGACTAGACTGATTGATCTTTATAGCTTTATACAGAGCACGCTCTCATGACTAGAACTGCGTTGACTAGATGATTCCAATTGCTCCTCCCTCCGTTACGCCTTTCACACCTTTCAGGTACTTGGAAAACATCCTCTAACTTTGGGATGGGCCAGGATCAGGATCAGGATGGGGATCAGCCAGGAGAGCTGCGATATACGGCTCGAACGGCACGTCACTCGCTCAAGCCGGGCGAGATCATGCCGTCTATGGGCTCCAGCTATTGCTCCATGATGATCGTGTCCTCGGACTTCACGTTGCCGGAGTTGATGGCCTCCATTGCCTTGCTCAGCAGGGTGGCGTCCTTCAGGCTGACCACCTGCACCAGCTGCGGCTCCTGGCCGGGTCCGCCCTGGATCATCATCTGGTGCATGCCCGGCGACATGGTGATCGTCTCCAGCTGGTCGCCGTTCTCCACCTGTTTTTTTAATAAAATAAAAACAAATTTAATTAGTACAGGAATTAGTTAAAATAATTATAATCATTTCTCGAGGGCTCCTTCGATATTCTTCGGTCTCTTCAGTCTGGCGAAAAAGAATAAAATAAATTAAGCATAAAAAGTATACATATAATAGCAAATCATACTTACATACTCAAGGAAAAATCAGGGCTATATAATACAAAATATAAATAAAAAATAATCATAATATTCAAATTCATTTGCTGGGCTTTATTTACTAGCAAAAATTCAAAGGTAAAATTATAATAAAATCACAACAACAAAAGATTTATTCAATAAAATTTGTTGGCTTCTCTCATTCGATTAAACATAAAATTTGGTCTAAAACAATTCAAATAAGTGCGGTATATATAAAATCAAACATTTAAACACAATAGTAATAGGTAATAGCAATAATGAATTGAATTAAAAACACAATAGCAATAATGGTAATAGTAATAGTTATAGATCAACATAAAATTATTTTGCACGCACTTCGAGGAGAATATATCGAATCCCCTCTACATCTATATATCTATATATATAGCACATATATCTCCCGCATAAAGCTAACTAACTCCAATGGCAAACTCGTTTCCCCGCATTTTAGCGCATTTTCAATGCGAATTGACTACGTTTTCTTTTTTTCTGGGGGATGGTTTTTGGATGGTGGGTCTAAAAGGGTGGCTAAAATTCACAAGCTGACAAGTACATACATATTTTACGCCTAGGCTGATCCCTGTTCGCTTTACTACTTACTGACTAAAACTTACCCAAATGGTACAACTTAAATTGGTTAATATTTGGTGTGTGTTGCGCTCTAAGCAAGATTATTTGCACGATTATCTTCTGTACTCCTCGTCGACTTAACTACTAAACAAATGGCTAAAAACTAAACAAATTGTATGTTAAATGTTTTGTAGCTCTGTTAACTGCTTTTCTAACTAGGAACAATTTTAGTTTTTGATTTAGCTCTGTTTTTGATTTGGTTTTCGGTTTCAATTATCAACAAATTATTTGGTCTTCCTCTCTTTTTCCGGCACTAAATTCAATTCGTACAGTTTAGTATCTCTACTAATTTTTTTGGCATTCACAATGTGCATGTGTCTAAGTTTACAGGCTTAAATGGCAAGTGCATTAGTTTCCCTCTTATCTTCCTAGTTTCTCATTTAGATTTTAGATTTCTTGTTTGTGTTTTGTGCAAAGCCGCATTTGACTAGATTCGAGATGGGCTGGTGTTTCTTTGGATGAGGGGTGGGTCACTACTACTATTCCAGGTGCTCCAGCTTGATGGAAGGCAGCTGGAGCTGGGTCAAACTGGCGCTATCCACGCATCGAATGGAGGAGTTCCCTTCACTGGCCTTTAGATGAGTTCTACTTTTTAGGGCGGCACTCGCTTTTCTTCGCTTCTGAACCATCACCATGGAGTTAGTTCCTCCTCCGGCGGCGACAGCTGCAGCTCCTCCTCCTCCGCTAATCCCGCCCCTTCTGGTGGACCTGGTTGCCACCTGCGGCAAACTGGGCGTGGCCAGTACAATGGGCATGGGCAGTGGCATCTTTATGCTATTATTGTTATTATTCGCCAGGCTGCTATTGTTGTTGTTGCTGCTAGTGGTGGCGGCTGAGGCGGCGGCGGTGGCCAGGTAGTAACGCCCCCCCTGCTGGTTCACCACTCCACCAGCGGCAGTGCGACGACCTAGAACCGCCGCTGCTGAACCCGCTGAGATCAGCGAGTAGCACTGAACATTGCCCGCCAAAGGAGACGAGGAGGAGGAGGCGGAGGAGGAGCTGGTGGCGGTGGCATTAGTACCGCGATTGGCACTCGTATCTACCTGCATGGGCGCCAGGCAGACGGTTCCATCGCTGTTCGTCTGGATCTGCTGCATGTTGGCCATCACCGATTGGTACATGGAGACGGGCACCGAGATCACATTGCTCACCGAAACGGGATAGCCTGGGGAAAAAGGGTAATTGTGTATTATAAATGGATAAATATATAATAAAGGTAGTAGTTACCTTGACCATCCTCGGTGGTTATGTATATTTGGCCATCCTGCGTCTCGGTGAGATCCACGGTCATGTTCTCGTGCCCATTGACATCGGTGAGACTCTGAACCGTCTGGATGGTGGCGCCTCCTTCGCCCTGGTGGAGCTATAAAAAATACAAAGATATAGATAAAAATATAAGGATTCGATATAGAGCTGGTTAACCCACCGTGGCAACACCTTGCACCTGGGCAGTGGTTCCATCCGGCAGTGTGATGATGGGATTGTTGGGATCCACCTGGATCAGCGACACGGTGCCATCGGCATTCTGGGAGAGCACCGTTTGCGTGGTGTACTGTATATAAAGAAAACATCCAGTTAGTCTTCAAATTATATTAAATATGAACCGTAATAAGCTAGGTAATTAAAAAAAAAAACAAAGCACTACAAAAGTTAATTAACAAGCAAGCAATAATAATAATGTAATAATGATTCGTATTTTTTGTTCTTTAGGCTAAAGTCGTATTTACATGTGGGTGCGATTTTTCGATTTGTGGTGGATGCAAATAATGATGGAAATAACCAATAACTCGATAACAACCAGCTGCAACAGAAGTAACAAACAAACAAAACAAAAAATCAGATCAAATCGGGTTAAATCAAATAAATCAAGAGGTTCGTCGGGGAGCAACAACATCAAAGATTAACGATAAGTAACAGCGAAAACGGAAGATTGAGCCAAAATAGAAAAATTTAGGGGGGAGCAAAGGACCGGGACTTGTAAGCTATGCAGAGGAATTCCTCAAAAATATAGAACAATCAACTATCAACTATTAGTTCATTTTAGGAATAGAAACAGTATTAAGAAGTTCTTGAAAATTTTACGATTTTAGATTATTCTTAACTAATTTTAAAGTTGTATATCTATCAGACTTATTTTCCACCTTTAAATCCTTGTAGGTTTTAAATATTATAACTTTTTTAAATGACCTAAAAATACTTTGTTTTCAGATTGTATTCATCTATTCCTTGTAGATTTTAAATATTATTACTTTCTTAAATGAACTTCTTGTTTTTTGTTTATAAAACAGTGTAACTAGATCTCAACATTTTTTGTTTCCAGATTGTATTTAAAATACATTGGATTATATGCAAAACAGTGTTCTTAACATTCCAATTTAAGCGAACTTATTTTTCAAAAACTTAAACACAATCTTAACTTTTTGAAAACAATTTCTTTTCAATCAAATATCACTAGATATCGAATGTTTTTGCTTATAATCCAATGTCTAGTAATCAAAAATAAAAGTTATGAGCTAGTAAAACTTTAAAGAGGCCTTTTCAGTATGACAATACTGGTAGTTCCCTAAATCCAATCCCTAATCCTGCTAGGCTACTACAAGTCCCCATCCCGCAGCTCCCGGCTCGATTAGTGGGCACAACGGCAATTCAAGGGGCAATTCAAAGGGCATTTCATCCGGATTAGTACGAACATCAACGTCGCTCAGCGTAATGGGCTCGATGCAGACTTGGGCATTGGCGATCTGCTGAGCGGTGACCGTCTGGTTGCCACTCGACTGCGAGTGCGCGTGTCCATGGGCCTGCGAATGCGAGTGGGCGTGGTTGTGGGCGTGGGCATGGGCCTGTGCCGCACTCACGGCGGCCGCTGTCGTCGGCACCGCGGTGGCCGTCGCCGTTCCACTGGCCGTGGTCAACTGAATCGTCTGCGGCTGCCCACCGGCCACCGGCTGGATGTGCACCGTGCTGGGCAGGTGGTGTTGCTGGTGCTGCTGTTGCTGGTGTTGCTGCTGCTGGTGATGTTGCTGCTGCTGCTGCTGTTGCTGCTGCTGCGGCGCCTGGCAAATCTCGATCTTCGTGGAGGCAGGCAGCGTGGCCGTCGTGGTCACATGCTGGTTATTGGTGCTCTGGATGATCGTCGGAGCAGGCGTGTTGCTCTGGGCCGTGTGGGTGGTGATCACCGTTCCGGCACTGTTGATCTTCACCACGTTCACCTGCTGCGGTTGCTGATGGGATCGATGGGATTGCATTGGATTGGTGGATGGTTTAGTAATGTGATATGAGCATTTCCCAAGTGCGGATTAGTAATGTGATTAAAGGTCGATGGAATCCGACCATGGGAAAAGTGAGTACCAAAGTTAGAGGATCGTAAGCCCAACCGAAACCCTAGACCAGGGCTCGGAAAATAACACACACTGTACAAAACTAGTGTTAAATGTCAAAGTGTAAAGTTCAAAAAAAGTTATTGACTTGTGTGTACAAAATTGTACACACACAGTTCATTAGTGTTATTTACACGACGTGTTTTTTACACAGCCTGTTTTTAACAAAATGAGTTTTTGACATTGAAGTGTCAGAATTATATGTTTTCTAGAGTTTAAGAATTCATGGTTAAAACTAACAAATAAGATATCATGCCCCATATTGGTTTTTCACTTTCCTTCGACTCGCTAATGTCAGTAAAATGTAATTTTCATTTGGTTTAAAAACACAGTGTGTAAAAAACACGTAGTGTTAATAACACTTTGTGTAGAAAACACAAGTGAGCTACTGTATGTGTGCTAACAATTATTCTTCACATTTGAACACTTTTGTATTTTACACACATGTCAAAAATTGTTCATGTTTTTTACAGTGCATGTTATTTTCCAAACCCTGCCATAGTCACTCCCTTCAGCCTACTCACATTGCTATTGCCCGTCGGCGGCGTCATGGTGGTGACCGTGTGGATGGTGGGAGGATTCGATAGCTCCATGTCCTCGTCCTCGTCGCCCGATTGCGAGATCAGAGCGTTGACCTTGTCCTCGTCGTCGGCAAAGGTGGGCAGCAGGTCCTCCCTGCCGTGGTACTTGTAGCAGTTGATCACGATCTTGCGCAGCGCATGCGTCCAGCTGATCTGTAATTGGTAAATATAGTATATAAGTACGATCCAAAGGAGATCGGGGGCGGTATGTTGGAACACCCACCCCACCCACCTTCTGCTTGTCGTCCTCGGAGCGGGCATCCATCCTCACATTGGCCCACGGCAGCTCCTTGGGCCACCAGGGCGGTCGCGTGGACTCCCTGCCCCAACCGGGTTTCCCCCGCCCCGTCGAATACTTCAGCATCAGCGGGATGAAGGCTCGCAGCTGCGCCTGGGTCATCTTCTCCACGGGCGTGGGTATGCCATCGATCACCAGGCCGGGCAGTTCGAAGAGCGACGGATCATCCTGTGGCGGCGGTGGCGCCTGCTGGGCCAACGCATTGTCCAGTTCGTCCATCACAATGTTCTTCAGGTTGCGCAGCACATCCTCCAGCGGCTTGGCTCCGAAAACCTTGTAGCTAGTGTTGGGTTTACCAGGTGTGGCCACCAAAACCACAGCCTGTTTGCCCACGCGACCCGTGAACTCGTAGATAATCCCGCGCAGCTTGCGTAGCAATCGATTCTGTTGCCTCTTCCGCACCGAGGGATTCGTTTCGAAGCAATGGGGTCGCTTGCGCTTCTTGGAACTCGCAATGGCAGCCGCTGCTGCCACGCCCACTGGTCCGGCGGCGGCCAACTGGTGGGCCACGTCATCGTTCACGGGCATGGAACCAAGATCTCCCTCGTACAAACTGCCATCGCTGCTGATCAGATCCTCGTCGTCGTCATCGGAGCCTAAACTTTGGATATCCTCGTCCAGCATTTCGATCTTGTAGGTGGTCCCATTGCTCTGGGAACTGTTGCCGCCACTCTGCAGCTGGCCACCGCCTCCTCCTCCGCCGCCGCCTCCTCCTCCGCCAGTCGTTGTGATGGTGGTCACATTGAGACCGCCGCTGCCCGAACTGCTGCCCGCGTTGTTACCCCCGCCATTCGAGGAGTTGCTGCCCGAGGAGGTGGTCGTGGTCGTGACCACCACATTGCCAGCCGAACTCCGCTGGCTGCCCGCCGGCGCCACGACCAACCGATAGCTTGTGGTGGCCAGTTTGCCGGTGCTTCGGGGGATTCCTCCCTCCTGCTCCTGATCCCTGCTCCTGATCCTCTTCCCTTCTTTCCTCGCACCTTCTTCACTGGACTCCCGAAGGACTTATTCGCATGCGCAGTGTGATAAGAGCTGTTGGGGGAAACAAAGAAATTAGTTCTCAAGTCTTCGATAACAAAGTAATTATAGAACAGGGGAAACCCTAGGGACCTTGAACAAATATTTCCCAAACAATATTAAAATATTTTACGTTTTAACCAAGTTATCAAGGAACTTAGCCAACTAGAAATCCCTAGAAGTATTTAGATTTTCTAAACCATTTAAAAATATATAAAATATTTTTCAAGTTGTTTGAGAAAGTTATGCAACTAAAAATCTCTAGAGATTACTTAACCTGATTTTCTTAACAATATTAAAATATATAAAATATTTTCTGAACAATATTAAAATATATATAATGTTTTTTTTATGTTATTGAGTAACTTATCCCTCTAGTTTGATTCCTATTTCTAAGTAATTCAGGTTTTTTTTTTAAATATAAAAATATATAAAATATTTTCCACGTTTTTTGAGAAACTTATCCAACTAGAGATCCCTAGATCTAAGCAACCCTAATTCCCCAAACAATATAGTTTCAGTTTATCTATAGCTCAAACATTCATAGTTCATAAAACAAAGCAATATTATGGCACACGCCGTGAATTGTCATAAGCATACAGGATTAGCATATTTAATTTTGAAAACACCCCAAGCTGAAGCTAGGGGTTGATTACGTTTCGAAATATGTATACCCCTATATCATCGGGCGTACAGGGTATATCGGCGACGGCGACGGCAACAACAGAACTTGGATCGCTTTTTCTGCTGATAAGCGACAAGTGAATCAGGTCAAAAGCGCGCATGCGCAACACCACAAACGACGAATAATAGAACAACAAAAGCGAACAATTCAGTGTTTTATAACGCAGCCCCGGCAACAATATGTACATATACCATACATACCATATATACAAGGTACATATGCACAACTGTTTGTAATTCGAGCGATCCACAGTCGCAGATTAGCGCCGTCGACGTTCAAGTCGCTTTTTTATTTTTTATTCGTAGGGCCCTACGAATGGATCGGATCGGATCGGATGGGATCGTATCGGTTTTTCGGTTCGGGAGCCGATAAACGGCGAGAACCTGGGTGTATATACAACGTGTACTATATGTAAATAAATATGGGGGTAAGGTGAGCGAAAGCGAAAACAAAAGCCGTCCATGTGGCACAGGTAGCTCACAAGAACCGAAGAAGTCTGACCCTGACACAAACCGAAAGATACAGGATTGGGTACTCATATGTCTTCTCTGTATCGGTTTCTTGTTTTATTCCCCTGCACTATCTTCTTTTGACAAGCTTTCCCAATATTTATGGTATACTCTTTCTAAGTTTAAAAGTTCTAAGTTTAAGTTCTTATAAAGAATAAGAAAAATATCATCAAAGAAAATCTGCTCACTATTAGTTATATTTACAATGTTTCTAGGTTGGTTTTAAAATTTGTTTCTAACTATATACCTCTTTCTAATGGGTTTTTCATAAAATTATTAATATTTTTTCACTATAATTATTTATTAAATTAAACTGAAAATAGGCGTATATCATTTTTAAAGAGCACCCCATCTGTAACTATTAGATACTGGCAATATATTATTTTTCACATTTTGAAAAATATTAAGCAAACACAAATCTTGCGCTCTCATTGGTTTATTCTCCGCGTTTTCTGAGCATGTGCATTATCCGTTCTCGATTCTCTGTTCTCCAGTGCGCAGAATCCCCCAGCTTCTTCTGCTCCCGCACAGATTTGCAATCTAGCCTCTCTTTCTACCCGAGTATGGCCCTCTCTTTCGCTTTCTTGGGGGCCGTTGCACGTGCGCACTGATATAGGGTTCAAAATTTATGCCCGACTAAGCAATAATATTCAGTGGAATTAACGTTTATCAATTGTTTTTCGTGGTTTTAGCTTGCCTCAGGGATTTTTTATGTGACGTGCAGCGGAGATTTGTTTTGGTGAACTTTTGGGTTGTCTTTTTCGTTTACTTTTTAATTATTTTTTCGATTTTTTTTAATTTGTTTTTCAGGCAGGTTCAGAACTTTTGGCACACACTTTTTGTAGCACAGAAAATAAAATAAGTAATTTCTTTTTTTTTTTTGGAACGAGATTAGGGCTCCCGAACGAACCACTCAGTACCGCTTTTAGTGGCTCTCTGTGCTCAAGTTCTATTTGCGTTTGCTCAGAAACTCGGAATCCAACGACGGCAACGCGGCGGCAGAAAAAGAGGGCGCTAGCTGGTGGAGAAAGAGAGAGCTGTAGCGGGGGAGAAAGAGAGGGCACGAGAAACCACCCCACGGAGTGATTGCGACAAAGCAGCGACGTCGACGCAGTGAAAAATCAATACTGCGCCCATGCGTCGACTTTGCCGCCTGAGATGGCTATATATACGAATATATATAAGGTCTGGTCGTCTTCCTCTGTCTATAGCCTCGATAGGAAATATTTCTAGCAGAAAATATTAACTAGAAACCAAAATAACTAACGTGAAATACGGTGCACTGTTAACAGCTCCAAACTCATGGCCAAATACACATATACTCGTATGTGTACCCCTTTGAAACTCCCCCACTTTGGGCGAGAAGAGCACAGCTATATGGGCTAACACAACACAACACCCCCGTCGGGAAATTGAGAGCAGAGATTCTCGGACACTGGAAAAAGCCACCCCCAAAGGCCCAGAACTTTCACCACCAGCCCCCGACAAATACACACGCAAACTCGACGAGCTCGAATTTTAACCCATGATAATACTGCCTTATCCTGTTTTTCGTTCTGTTTTTTTTTTCCTTTTGGCCTTTTTAAACCACCACGCATGCACTGCTCGCAGCACCCAACCACCCTCTACATTCCCAAAATCCAGAAGGTAAAACACCACCATTCCCACCCCCTTTTAGGGGTTGTAAGCCCGTTTCACTTGCGCGTGCCAAACATCCGGCGACAGTGGAGGCCCCGAAAAAGTGAACTTCTGCAACTGGAACTGAAACTGGGTTGAAATCAGAAATCAGACATGATGGTGATTGGGATGAACAACCTGATTCTGTGTTCATCCCTTATGACACCTAACTGGATGCTGAGCAAATTGCCTTTTTTTTATTCGGAGCAGGGGGATCATTCGACTTTTGGCTTGTTTAGACAATAGGGAAAAAAACAAATGCTCACTTTTACAAATATATGGATATTTAATGAAAATATTTTGTATGGTTTCGAAAAAGCTTTTTCTATTAGTTAGTGCATAAATATTTTTGTAAACATTTTAAAATATTCTACATAATTCGTAAAATACTAAAATTAAAATTTTAAAAAATTAATGAAGAGAATGCTTTCCTTTTAAATTACTAATTTTATGGATAATGGCATAAAGCATACCTATTTCCATGACCACTAGTGTATTGTGTCCCGTGTCTGTATTTTTTTGTTTTAGTGGGGTTGCGTGCGCAGCGCTTCTCCCTTCCTGGTGCCTCGCTGGAAAAACTGCGCCGAGTGCCCTGAGATGCATGCTATGAGCGCCAAGTTTTAAGCCGATGTCAAGGCAACTGAGCACCCACTTACTCAGTAACTAAGGCACTCCTAATCAAGCATTTTGTATCTATGAAACATGGCTTAAAGGTAACGCAAAGTTGAAAAATTTATAAAGTGAAGCATTCATGGGCTAACAATTTCATTTCTTATTTTATACCATAAGCTTCACGGTAAAAATTAATTAATTTACTAGTAAAGAATCTGTTGCCTTTACAGAGTTGCACTGAGCGCTTGCGCACAGGGTCACACTGGTTTTGGAACTTTTTTCTGGCTCTTAAAAAAAAACCCTTAATTTAATTCGATTTCTAGAATTGGTGACACTGTTTAAGTACTTTTAAAAATATTTAATGGATGTCTAAATGGCAAGATCACACTCCAAATTCCTATTCTCATTTTTTTTTTGTGAATTTTTTAGCCCCGGCCCTCTATTTCATCTGCCTCTGTAGCTTCAATCTATTTTTATTTATTTTTTGAGATAGAGAACATTAGAAATACTTTGTACGGAGAACCTCTAGATTTCATTTGTGTACGTGCGTGTGCCTACAACAACTCCCACTGCAACAAACTCCCACTGCGTCAGCGCACGTACACGCAGACAGGCGCACTGATCACCCACACTCGTGCTGGAAAATCAAATTTGAAATCAGTGCGGCTGGCACAGTGGGCGTGAAGCCAATACTTATAGTGTTATCAGTCTCTCTCATCTTCGAAAAACATTAAAAAAAAACTAATAGAGTACAATATTCGTTTAGCACCAAGAAATAATAATTAATAAAGAAATTTAAGAAATACTTTCCCTCGTATATTAAGATAGGCAGTATTTAAATTCAATTATTATGATTTCTTTTAAACATTAGTTTTTTAATACAAATTTCTTCTACTTTGAGTTTTGTTCTGTGAAGAATCGACCCCACCGTGCGCTTCTTCTCTCCTTCTCTTTCGCTCTCTCGCAAATATATAATCGATAGCTATTTTCTGATTCTCTCTCCCTCTCTCTTGCTCTGTTTTGTACTTGACGCCACAGTCTACAAAAACAATGATAACAGGGAAAAAGCGCAAGAAAGGCGAGAAATAATAAGTTACGCATGCGGCGGTTCGTTTTTCGCGGCAGTGGCGACGGCGCACCAACCACCCCATCCACCCACCACCCACCGTCCACAGCCACCCACTCACAAACACACAGGCAAGAACTATGGGTAAACAACAAGCGAGAATTTACAGTGGCGGCTAGCAAAATAGCACTTGAATTGAATTTTTCATGTATATTTTAAACAGCTGTGGAATAATTAATAATATATTTTTTAAATGCAAAAGAAATGCATTAAAAAAATGTAAAAGAAATGCATTTTAAATTTGTAAATAATTTTGCTTAGAAGGACATATTTTGCAAAGATTAGAGCTATTGTTTCAGCCGCAGCTGTAAACACGAATA